CCAGCCATTCATGACAAAAAAAGCGACAGCAAGCCTCACTAGTACTTAGCGGTCCGTTTGCGCATTTGTTTGTTGCCTCAACCCCCCTTTTCATGCCAGGATATATCACAAAAGAAACCTCTCCCCCACCCTGCAAACATGCATTCCCCTGCCCCTGCTTTCTGGGTGTTTGCCGCATGTACCTCGCGCCCCGGCTTGCCTCTCGGGTGGCGGCGCGCCCTGCCCTTCTCTGAACACTTTGCGCCTTCCTCTGCGATCTGGGCTACATGGATACCCCTGCCCTCCTCTTCCCTCTCCGCTTCACACTGCCCTGAACCCGTTTTTGCTGATTCTAGCTGCAGTTTTGCGTCGCCGCCACCTGCCACCCTAATACCACACCCTTCTTAACTTGCCTGCCTTTCCTCAAACGCCAAACCGAACTCTCCCCTGTGAGCGCCCTCCCATTTCGTTGCTCGGACCCCCGATTACACTGCCCGAATGCGCTTCCGTCAACGTCCTTGGGGTCGATGCTGTGCCTCTCCCTAGTGCCTCTAATTGTTTTTTGACTGCCAGTGCCGCCCCGTTGCCATCAATTCGACTTCCCTTCCCTGTAAGCTAACCCAGCGAGGCATGACAAAAGGGGTGCGCGTGCAGGAAAGCAATCCCGAGCTGCCGGGCGGCAGCGCGGCATGCAAGTTGAAGGCAACCCTGCGGCTTCCCGGATGCAAAGCTCCCAATTACTTTTCCCATCCGCATTGAGAGAGTTTGCACATCAGAGAGGCCGTGTGGGAGCGGAGATGGCGGCGCCTGAGGACGCACTTTTGTTGGAGCGCAGCGCTGTGCCGGTTTGCTTCCCCGGTAGGCATTGGGCGCCTCAGGAGACCACGATGCCTCCGCGCCAGGCACGTTGCAGCAACCCGCCGGCGCCGCCACCGCCACTGCCGGCTGCTCGCCGCCCGCGCCCCACCCGCAGGCATGGTGGCGCACTGGCCAGCGGTGCAGCTGTGGCGCGGCGAGTCTGGACTGCAGCGTGTGATGCAGCTGGCAGGCGAGGCCCGGGTGGAAGCGATGGTGACGGGAGGCGAGCAGGCGGTGGGCGACATGCAGCACCTGGTGCTGCTGGGCACCACGCTGAGAGAGTTTCTGGATGGCACGCTGGAGCGGCAGCTGGCGCAGCGCCAGCCTCCAGGCGCTGCACCGCTGCGCCTGTACCTGGCGCAGAGCCCTGTGTGCGTGGCAGCGCCGCCCGGCACCGGCAGCAGCGGCGGCGCCGGCAGCGGCACCGCCCGTATGCAGCCCGCCGCGCTGCAGGCGCTGATGGAAGACCTGGGGGCGCCCTGCCTGATACAGCGGGTGCAGCTGTCGCAGGCCAACTTCTGGGCCAGCTTGAGGTGGGTGGCGCTGCTGGGTGGCTGGACAGGCTGGGAGCCTGCTGGTGTCAAAGTCATGGCGCCGCGCATTCCCGCGAAGTAGCTGTTCACCCTACGCTCCTAGAGTCGACCGCTGCCCTGCCTGCCGTGTGCACCTGCAGGGCCACCCGCTCCTCCCTGCACTACGATCCCTACAGCAACCTGCTGTGCGTGGTGCGGGGCGCCAAGACGGTCTGGCTGCTGCCCCCCAGCGCCACCCCGCACCTGGCCCCGCAGCCGCTGACCAGCGAGTCGGCCAACCACTCCCCGGCAGACCTGGCGCAGCCCGACCTCGGTCGCTTCCCGGGCCTGGAGGCAGCCCTGCCCAAGCTGCAGGTGTTTGAGCTGGCCGCGGGCGACGCGCTGTTCATCCCAGAAGGCTGGTGGCACCAGGTGGGTGGCGGAGGAGGGTGCGGCGGGGGCCGGATGGCTTCCCGGGCGGGGCATGCCTCACCAGGCCTGCCTGTTGATGTGCTGGCACAGGTGCACAGCACAGATGGCACGCTGGCGGTCAATTTCTGGTGGAGCAGCGAGATCTCGCGCCAGATGGGCGGCCACATGGACAGGCGAGCATGTGCTGCGCCGGTGCCCGCGCAAGGCAGCCCACCCACACCCAACAGCACTTGGGCACGAGGCAGGCGGTGTGCGACTTGGGACTCCCCTCCCCGCCCGTCCTGCAGGTACTACCTTCGCCGCCTGATGCAGAGCCTGCTGGAGCAGCAGAAGCAGGCTTCCTTGGCTGCGCTGCCGCGCTGCGACCTGCTGCAGCAGGCAGCCGCTGCAGGCGTTGCCGAGCAGCAGCCACGGGAGGCTGAGCAGCCAGTAGCAGCAGGCAACCCGGCTGAGGGAGAGGAAGAGGGAGGGCCAGACCAGCAGCCACGACTGTCCCCTGAGCAAGCGGCAGCTGTAGGAGTCCTAGCAACAGCGCTGGCTGACCATCAGATGGCGGGCCCAGGGAGCGAGCCGCCGCCGCTGGTGGCCGCCGTCGTGGCCACTCTGTCGGCCTCCTCGGCACAGGCGCTGCTAGATGTGCTGCTGCACCTGCGCAGGCGGCACCCGCAGCTGGCGGCGCACCTGCTCCTGCAGGGGCTGGGCCCCGCGGGCTGGGAGCTGCTGTCTGGCGCCTTTGAGCGGCGGCAGGAGGAGCTGGCGGCGGCAGGGGGCGGGGAGGCAGCCGAGGATGCTGTGTCTGCGGTGTGCGACGAGCTGTACAGCGTTGTGGACCGGCAGCAGCTGCTGGATGTGATCCTGGAGCGCAAGCAGGCCTTTGCCAGGGAGGCGCTGAGGGCCGTGCTGGGCACGGAGCTGGCGGGCTGCCTGTGAAGCCACTTGCTCGTGCTGGCCGGCTGCATGTTGGTGTGGCTGCCCAGCTTCTGGGCCTCACCTGTGTTCAGCGTGTAAGCGTCTCAATCTGACAAACTCAGCAAAGAGCAAAAACTAGGCGCAGCCTTATCGCGATAGATGGAGGCAGCAGCACAGGCCCGGTGCTGTCAGCCCGCCTGCTCCTGCAGCTGCGCCATGAGCTGCACGTGCTGCGCCGCGCGATGCCGCGGCCCAAACACCGGCGGCAGCTGGAAGGCGCTCGTGCCCTCTGCCACCCGCCGCAGCTTGCCGCCCGCCGCCTCTGCCGCCTCCTGCAGCACTTCCGCCAGGTCCTGCGGGCAGGGAGGCTGGGGGGCATGTAGTGGATGGAGGCATGGGGATGGGGCCGGGGCAGGAATGCCCCACGAATGGCTGCCACCGCCAGCCCCACCTGCAGCATGGGCCCTGCCAGTGCCGCATCGTCCAGCGGCTGGTAGCACAGATCCACCGCCAGGCCCAGGAAGTTCTGCTGCGGCGCCTGCGCAGTGGCAGTGGACGGGAGCAGGAGGATGCAGCATGGGCAGGTGGTGCAACATGCGGGCATCCGCCGCAGATGGACCGTTGCTCAAGTTGGTGCTGCACATTACCATCCGAATATAGGACACACTGCCTGCTTGCCTGCTTGCCTGCCTGCCCGCCAGCAACCCACCTGCACCGCGCGCGCCAGGCTGATGCGGAAGTCTCCCACCGCATGCTGCACGCCCTCCAGCTGCACCGAGCCGCGGGCCTTGAACAGCGCCAGGCGGTCCAGGAAGGCCTGCATGTCGGCGCCCGCCTGCAGCACCTGCCTGGCAGCCCTGCAGGCAGCGCAGGGGCGGCGCGGCGGTACGCAGGCGGCAGCGGGATCGGGGCGACAGTGGGATGGGGGCGTGCGATGCTGGCAAATCAAGCATCTGCGGTTGTGTCATGCGCCGCTGGTCCCACCTGGACAGCAGGAACAGCTGGTCGGGCTCGTCGCTGAGCGACACTCTGTGCAGGGACACCTCGCTGCCGGCGGCCCGCACAGACGGCAGGTCGTCGGCGGCAGCGGCCTGCACACGCCGCAGCGCCGCCGCCTGTGCCGTCCAGCGGCTGGAGGATGAGGAACCCAGGCACAGGATGGCGTCTGACAGGGCATCGTAGGCCTCCCTGCGCGCCGCGCCGTCTGCGGCGGTCCAGTAGAGGAGCCTGCGGCGGACAGGAGACGGCGGCGGGTGAGCTTGCATCCGATGCTGCCCATCCAGCATGCTGCAACTCACAGGTGCACCCCCATGTCACTGTGGCAGCGCCTGCTGTCGCTCCAGCGCTCGATCAGAGTTGTTTTGTGACAGTGGTGGCAGCTTTGGGCGCCCGAGAGCGGCTGATGGATGCAGATCGACTAGATGCGAGCGAAGGAGTGTGAGTGGGAGCTTTGGCGCAGAGGGAAATGGAGCATTTTGCCACGTCGGCGGTCAACCCTTTTCACAGGCCTCTAGACCCTCTGCGCGTCTTTGGTCGTCGCCCTGATCATCCCACCAACCCTGCAGCCATGGAGAGCGGCCTGTTTGGGAGCTATGCGAAAGAGTACGCCGCAAAGAGCACAGAGCTCAGCCAGAAGATAGAGGGGCTGGTGTTGCTGTCGGCAGGTGATGCTGGGGGTGCATGTGCAGCGCGGCGGCGCCCCCAGACACACGCTGCGAGACTGAGCGATCACGCGGCACACGCTGCCCTTGCTGCCCTGCAGATCAGAAACGCAGCAGCGCACGAGAGGTGGAGGCGGCGGTGCGAGAGTGCGAGCAGCTGGTGAGCTCCTGCCGGCCTTGCCCCCGCCGCCCTCCCCAACAAGACGCCACCTTGAACTGGCCCTGGCTTGCAGCCTCATCCCTCTGCTCGCCTCTTCTGCTGCACGCCTCTCTGGCCCACTCACCCGCTGCCCATCGCCCTGCAGCTGCAACGCATGGACATGGAGGCCCGCAGCTACTCGCCCGACCAGGCGCGCCAGCTGCTGCAGCAGTGCAAGGAGTACAAGGCCGACCTGGGCAAGCTCAGGGAGGATGCGCGGCGAGCCACCGCGGCTGGAGGTGCCGGGGCTGCCGCTGACGCGCGTGCCGAGCTGGGCGTGGCTGGCGACTTCTACCAGACCTCTGCGGGCCAGCGCGACCGCCTGCTGTCCTCCACCGACCTCCTCAACAAGACCAGCGACCGCATACAGCAGGGGCGGCAGCAGCTGCTGGAGACAGAGGTGCGCCTGGGGGAAGGCTGCGGGGCTGCGGGGTGCTGCCTCTGCCGCTGCTGATTCAACGCCTGCATGGCGTGCCCGGAACGGCTGGGCTGGGGCATTGCAGAAGCAGCCAGCCCCGGGCAGCCAACCAGCCTGCCTCTGGGCGCGCTGCAGCCCGGGCAAAGAGTGACCCAGCCCGCCCTGCCGTGCTGCTTGCCACTGGATCTTGTCGGCAGGCCACAGGCGCGGCCATCCTAGCAGACTTGCAGCGCCAGCGGCAGCAGATACAGCATGCACGGCAGCAAACGCAGCAGGTGGACGCCAGTGTGGCGGCAGCTGACAGTACGCTCAAGCGTATGAACCAGTGGTGGCGGCTATGGTGACAGCATCGCTGGGTCTGGCAGCAGCGGCGACGTGGCCCTGGCCAGCCGCCAGTCACGGGTGCGTGCATGGCAGCCAGCTGGCAGCTGCTCGGCCCACGGCGTTGCAGCACCTGCAGCCTGCCCACACCCATCTCAGACCAGGCCCCCCCGCCAACAGCTGCTGCCGCCCTCTGTTGCCGTTGCCAGCCTCCCTTGCCTCCCATCTCACCATCGCCACCCACCGCCTGTGCTTTCCTCCCTTGTGCTCCCTCCTTCTCTTGCCGCAGGAGCTGGGTGTCCAGATCCTGAGCGACCTGCAGCGGCAGCGCGAGACCATCCTTCACTCGCGCGACACGCTGCACACGGTGGACACCCACATCTCGCGCAGCCGCCAGATCCTGCAGACCATGAGCCGCCGCATCATCCAGAACAAGGCCATCATGTGGGGCATCATCTTGCTGCTGCTGGGAGCCATCGGCCTGGTGCTGTGGGCCAAGTTCTGAGCGGGGCCAAGCTCCCAGGGGAGCGGGGGGTGGCCCCTGCGTGTGTATTTTTGCGACCCTCCAGATATGTGCCCTTGTACTTGTTTCCTGCTGCTGCTCCTCCTGCTATGTTTACCATGTACCCTGGCCGACGATGCAATAACTCAGCCCAGAGAGTCACCAGCCAGGCCTTATGACAGAGCCTCTCCATCTTCCCTGCCAGCCGGCCTTCGATCTCCGCGTCTTGCTGTGCGTGTGTGTGCGTGTGTGTGTGTGTGTGTGTGTGTGACCATGGTAATGTTTGTGACGGGAAAATGGAGCCCAATAAACGTACAGTGCACGTCAGGGACGTGGTCCCAACAACCCAGGTGGCGCTTGCCTCAGCGCCGTGACAACAATGAGGGGCAGGGCAGCGCTCAGGTCTGTGCTGACAGCGCCGGCTGCATGGCCCCGAACAGAGGGTTCTGCCAATTGGAGATGAATGCTGCATCCTGAGCCAGCGCCGGCCTGGGCATCACATCACGCGCCAGCTGGCTGCACAGCAGCAGGAACGGCGCGGGTGGAGGGCAGTTGGTGCCAGCACTGGGGTAGGCATGTGCATCGCGGATTGTGCAGTGGCCATGCAATTGTTGCTGCAGAAGGGGAACGTGTCAGGCATACCTGAGCTCCCGGCAGATGGCGTGAAGGCGGCCGGGCGCCTCGGCCGCCGCTGCCACCGCCTGCGCGATGCGCTGCTCCGTGATCTGGCCCTCGCCTGCACACCACAGGACTTGCCTCTTCAACAGCTGGCACGCAGTCCAAGGGGCGACATACAAAACTGACGCTGATCCCTTACGGTTTACTTGTGCATGTGGCAGCCGAGAGGGCGCTCACCGTCAAACCAGATGCGGGCCTGCTGCTGCACAGGTCCCGCTGGGTAGCTGTGTGGCAGCCGCAGGCTGACCCCAAACTTGACCTCGGCATCCAGATTGACAAACGACAGCGACAGCCAGCCATCTGCAGGCCGGGAGGTCAGGACGCAGGCGTTGGATGGGCAGGCATTGATTGGTAGGAGCACAGGCCACCAGACCAGACCTCATGTCATGCGCAATGCACGGGCAGTCGGCAAAGGTTGGCCAAGGTGGCAGCAGCACTTGCCAGGGCGGCACGCCACGTCGCACAGGGCGGGGAACGCCAGCCGCAGGCCGTCCAGCTCATCCGCCAGGTCAGCCACACGGCTGCACCGCAGGCACCAGGAGGGGCATATGTCAGCGCGACGGCTGCGAGCTCCTCCTGCTGCGCTCCAGGCTCCATGCACGGGCTGCTGCTGTGCTGTTCCGCATACCTGAGGCGTGCGGTGGTCGCTTGCACCAGTGCCGCCACTTTGGCGGCGCTCGGCTCAGACACTTGCACCTCGGCTGCCGCGGCAGCGCCCTCGGGGCAGCCAGCCAGTGCCGCCAGCAGCGCGCGACGGTCGGCAGGAGCCTTGCAGTCCTCCTCTGCAGAAATGCAGGGCCAGCAGAGGCGCTCAGCTACATGCCTTGCACAGCCCGGCCAGCGACCAGGCTGGCAGTGCAGCCGGCCATGCAAGGGGCTGCCCTCTGTTGCCTGCGCACCCACCTGGCAGCACCTCCACGCTAGCGGCGGCCTGGGTGCGGCTGATGGTTAGGCGCACGCGGAAGAGGTCTGCCAGGCGCAGCGCGGCCTCGCCGCTGACCGGGTCCTCCCGCGCGCCCTCCAGCTGCCACCCGACACACGCCTTGAGAACATCCAAGTCCTCCAGCTGCAGGCGGGTAGGGGCAGTGAAAGGGTGTGTGTGTGGATATGCAGGTGGCGGTTGCGGGTGCGAGGCCGCCATTCGGGAGAGAGAGTGCGGCGCAGGGAGCAGCCACCAGCATGAGCAAGCCACCAAGCTGCCCTGCGTGGCCTGGCCTGCTGTGGCAGCGGCTGCCCGCCCACCTTCTGCAGGATGGCCAGCGGCGACGACTCGCGGCCCACGCCCTCCCGCCCCTGGCTCTGCATCAGCGTCATCTGCAGCGCGTCGGTGCGGCTGCGCAGCGCCTCGCGCTCCCGGCTCAGCACAGCGTGCTCCTCCTGCAGGCGGGGCGGCCACCACAGGCTTGTGAGGTGGTGAGAGGCTGGGGCAGTGCGGCACCTGAACTGCTGGGAGGATTGGTTGATATTGGTTGCACCCGCCACCTCGCTCCTGCCACCTCACCCTCAGCTGGGCCACCCGCTCCTGCGCCTCCTGCAGCCGCCGCCGCCGCTCCTCGTTGGCCGCCGTCTCCTCCTCGATCGACCGCCGCATGCCCAGCACCGCACTGCGCCGCTCAGCCTCGTCGCGGTGCGCCTGCTCCTCCTGCACACGCGCCGCACCCAACCACCCCCATTTCCTCCTAGCAAAGTCTCTGTGCTCACTGGCTGCCCCGCACATCAATGCGGCTTGCACACATCCCAGCCTTCCAAGCGTCCCGCCGCCGCCCGCCTCACCTCTGCCATGCGGCTGTGCTGCTCCGCCACATACTGCTGCGCGGCGCGGGCCACCTCTTCCAGCTGTTCGCGGCTGGCCTGGGCAAAGGCCAGGTCGGCCTGCAGCACCTCCAGGTTGTGGCGCAGCCGCGAGCCGCGGCTCTCCTCCATCTGCCGCCGCACGTCCTTGAGGCAGTACACCGCCTTCTGGCGGCACACCTTCTTCAGCAGGCCCACGTGGCCCCGCAGCACCTCCAGCCCATCCTCGTCGGCGGCCTGCGCCTTCTGGAAGGCCGCAGGGTTCAGCTGCCCCACCAGCTGCTCCGCGTCGGCGGCGCTGCGGGGCGGGCGGGGAGGGGCGTGGTAAAGGTGCGACGGGGCTTGGGCACCTGAGCTTGAGGCCAAGTGATGCAGCTGGGCAGCTGAGCGGCGGGGCAGGGCAATGTGCGAGCGGGGCGCGGGGCCAGGCACCCACCTGACCCGCCGCGCCTGCACCTCCTCCTGCAGGATGCGGATGCCGTTCTCCAGGGTGGTGACCTGTCGCGGGACGATGCAAGTGGGCGTGCAGCACAGCGATGAGGCCACATGCTTTGGAATCGTGACAATGCAGGCGTGCGTGTGGCCACAGCGCCCGCCCTTGCCTGGACCACCTGTGCTGCAGCAGCGCTGCCGGCGGCGCACCTGCGGCGAGATGATGGTGAGCAGGCGGTACGCCTCCGCCAGGTTCTGGGGCACCGGGTTGGGCTGCAGGTCAGCGTAGTTGATGGAGGCGCCGCGCCGCAGGTTGTCCAGGAACTGCACCTCCGTCAGCTTGGCAAAGTCCTGCAGGAGAGGTGGGGGCACAGGGCACGCGGAGGCGGTGGGATGGCAGCTGAAATGAGAGGCTGGTTGAGTGCCGCCATCCTGACAGACGACGAGGTCATGGGGACAGGCCAGCGCTTTCGGTTGGGGCATTGCCAGGCGGGCGCCAGCAAGGGGAGCGCACGCACCTGGAAGGTCATGGGCGGAGGCATCCCCTGCGGCGTCATGCCACCGCGGTGCAGCGCCACCGCGCTGCCGGGGTAGCGGCCCACCGAGGCGGAGCCGGGGCCGGCGGCAAACTGCACCATGCGGCCGCTGCCGGGGTAGTGCTGTGCCACCGCCGAGCCGGGGCCCGCCAGGTAGGCGGTGGCCGGGGTGCGGCCCACGGGGGTGCGGGCCAGCTTGGGGCCACCGGGGATCTGCGGCATTGGTGGACACGCTTACTGCGAAGCTGTCGGCGCGAAAGCCTGCTTTGCGATACGCTGGCAGCCCCAGCATCAAGGCATGCCAGCCCTGCCTCAAGGCGGCCTATGCCAGCCCTGCAAGCACTCACCATGCCGTCAGCGGTGAGCTCAGCCTCAGCAGGGTACGCCGCCGCTGCGGGGCGCACGCTGCCGGGGGTGCGCGCCAGGCGGTGGGTGCCGTGGGTGCCGGGCGTGGCCTGGGAGTGCAGCATGTGCTGCTGCTGCTGGCTGCGCACGCTGCGCGCGTGGCTGTGTGGCGTGCCGTGGGCGGAGCGGGGCTGGGATGTGGCGCGGGCGGTCACAGGGGTGCGCGCCAGCTTGGGGCCGCCCGGGATCACGCCGCCGCCAGACAGGTCGGCAGCACCAATGGGGTAGCCTGCAGCACACGGAAAAATAGCGTTTAGGCTGAGCCATGAAGAGGCAGACATTATGTGGTGGACCATGCCGGTGCGATGCCTGCGCACACACCAACAGCGCCGCACCTGCCCCAAACTCGCCGCCCGCCGGCAGCGCAGGCGAGGCATACTCCTCCGCCGCCTGCTGGTGTTGATAGCCCGCCTCAGCCGCCTCCTCCACCTCCATCCCCGCCGCCTCGCCCTGCTGCTGCTGCCTCTGGCCGGCGGGCAGCTCGGGCGGGAGCTCAAACTCGTCCAGCGAAAAGTCGGTGAGGCCATCGCTGCCTGGGCCACGCCCCAGCTCGGGCGTGCCTGCATAGCGTGAGGCGACGGCAGCCAGTCAGCAGCATGTGGGTGGAACCCTATCTCCCACACTGCACACCAGCAAGCTGGCTTGGCCCCTGCCTCCCCCCTGCCACCCTGCCAGCTGCTCACCCTGCGCCGGCCTGCCCAGCAGCTTGGCGCCAACCATTGACGCCATCGTCATGTCAGCCAGCAGCTTGGTGGTGCCGTTGGTGCGCGCCGTGGCGCCGCCAGCACTCCCACCCGCCACATCCGCCGCCTCCTGCCCCTCACCCCCTGCCCCCTGCTGCTCCTCCAACTCCCCAGTGCCCTCCTCGTGCCCGCCGCCCGCCTGCTGCTCCGCCAGCTGCGCCGTCTCCCCCAGCAGCCGCGTGGTGCCGCCGGTGCGCAGCAGCCCCAGCGTGGCCGGGTTGTGGCTGTCGGCGTAGCCCAGGCTGACGGCGGAGCGTGGCGTCTTGGCTGCGCCCAGCTGCTGGGCTGCGCCAGGGGACTGGGCAGCCGTGGCAGCCGCTGCCGCGGCCTCCTCCTCCGCCACCTGCTGCAGCGCAGCCGCCTGCTCCGGCTGCGGAGCCAGCACGGGCGAGCCCTGGCTGAGCATGCGCATCTGGCGCCGCAGGTCGGCCAGTGGCCCCACAGGCTCCGCCTCCTCCTCCTGCAGGCTGTCATCCACCAGCAGCTTCTCCGTGACATCCCGCCCCAGGACTGCGCGCAGGAGATGGCACAGACAGCACAGACCTAGGTGTCAGCACAATCTTGCATGGCTTCTGAGTGAGCGCCGGTGGTTGCCATATGGCTATGCCCCATCCCCGTCGCAGCAAGCATGGCCGCAGCCACTCACACGCTGCGCCGCTGGAGCGTCGCCGCGAGCGCGGGCCGCCCGAGGCGGGCGCCGGCGCCGGCGCCGCAGCGGCCAGCGCCGCCTGCGCGGCGGCCTCATGCAGGCCGGCGGTGCCGGCGGCCGCGACGTCGTCCTCGCCGCCAAAGTCTGCCAGCAGGCGGCCGGTGGCGTCCTGCATCGAGAAGCGTCGGCTGCTGATGCTCATGCGCCGCATGTCCACGCCCACGCTGACGCGCCGCGTCTCCAGGGTGTTGAGGCTGCTGCCGGTGACGTCGGGGCTGTGCACCAGGGCAGGGTGGTCTGAGGGCGCGCCGCTGGCGGCCGGCGCCTGCATGTAGGGCGGCAGGAAGGCTGGCGCCGTCCAGTTGGGAGCCCGCTGCGCCGCTGCGGGCGCAGCCGCCGCCTGCGCGGCGCGCTGAGGGGCGCCTGAGGACACCGCCGGCGAGGCTGCCGCCGCTGGCGCGCTCGCTGCACCATGCTCTGCGGCAGCAGCAGGCCCCTCCACCCCCTCCAGCTCCAAGTCCTCTGCGCCGCCAGCGGCGCCGCCGTCCTTGGGCAGCAGAGAGTCGGCGGTGGAGTCGGCGCCTCCCAGCGAGGGGCGGCCCCCCAGCCTGCTGTCCCCGGTGGTGTTGTCGCAGTACATGCGGTCGAAGGTTTGGTCGCCCATGATCATGCGCCCTGCAGGGTAGGGTGCGGCGCAGGGCGCGTGAGAGAGGAGGCAGGCAGGCTTGAGGCCAGGCAGGCTCAGGCTCGGCAGCCAGGTTAAACAGCGCCAGGCGTAGACGCGGGGGGGCCAGACCAGGTGGCCATGGGCCCTGCCACCTGCCACTGCCACAAGCTACTGGCCGTCCTGCCACCTCAGCCCCCCGCCCCGCACCGTGCATCTCCAGGTTTATGTCCAGCGTGTCGTCCGCCCCTGGGGCGAAGCCCCACTTGCTCATCTGCGCCTTGGCTGCCACACCCGTGGCCAGCTCATCCGTGCCGCTGCTGAGCCGCTCCTTGCGCGCAGGCTCCGCCGCCGCCACCCGCGCAGTCGGCTCCAGCTCCGCGCCGCCCTCGGGCGCAGCCTCAGCAGGCGCCAGCGCCGGGTGGGGCTGCTGGGAGGCGAGGAGGGCCGGCGGGGAGGGAGGTGGCACCGGGCTGGGCGTCGCAGCCGTGGGGGAGGGCAGCGGCCGCTGCACATGGTGCTCCAGCACCCTGCCGGTGGGCAGCGTGAGGTCCATGCCCGCTGTGGCGTCCTCATCCTCCGCCACCAGAGCGCCCAGGCCCGGCAGCGCGGCAGTGATGTTGGCGGTGGCGTTGGCCGCCGCAGCCGAAGCTGCCGCGCCGGCCCAGCCCGCCGCCACCGCCGCCTGCTCGGGTGCACCCTGTGCATCCTCCCACCACTCGTCCGCGTCTGCCAGCGCCCCCAGCGACGGCAGGCCTGCCGTCACATCGCCCGGGCCCGGCGCCGCCGCCGCCGCCTGCAGCTGCACCGTGGGCTGCGTCAGCTCCATGCTCACCATGCCGGGGCTGTCCAGCGGCATGCCGTCGCTCAGGGGGCTGTTCTCCGGCACCGTCTTGTTCCAGAAGCCGGGGCGGTAGGCGCCGCTGGCGCCGGCGCCCGCATCGCCCACCAGCGCCGGGTGCTGCGCGTCGGGCTGTGCGCGCTGCGCCGCCATTGAAGGCTCGTCCTCCTCGTACTGCACAACCACCCGGCCCTTGCCACCAGAGTTGGAGGCATAGTCATCATCCTACAGTCGCGCGGCGGCAGCAGCAAACCAGTAGCGTCAATTAGGTCGGGTGGAAGACGGGAAGGCGGGGAGCGGCACGGTGCCGGCACGGCGCCTGGTGGCGCACGAGCAGGCATGCTGTGCCCCGCAGCGTCTGCCAGCCGCGCCTGGGCTTTCTGGTCAGCTGCCCCTGCAGACTGCACACACCTTTTCAAAGTGGTGCACCAGCGTGAGCTCGGGGTCTGGCGCAAAGCTGACGCGGCGCCGGTCCTTCTTGCTGGGCTTCTTGCGCTGCTGCTTCTTGACGGGGGAGGCCTCCAGGCGGCCCAGGGGCGCCCGCTTCTTGGCGGCCTGCGGGAATGCGGCATGGGGCGGCAAGCAGGTGGGATGGGTGGCGGGTGGGCGGCGGTGGAATCACTTCCGTCACCCTTGGCAGGCGGCGGGGCTCACCGAGCCTCCCGCCCGGTTGGGATCGCGCGCCTCCTTGGTTAGGGACCGCATCTGCGACCCGCTTCTTCTGCAGCAGCTGTCTGTCGGTCTTAAACCGCCTGGCTGTGCAGCGCCATTTGAGGGCTCCGTAACGCTGGTTGTTACCGGACTGCAGCTGGGATGGCAGCGAGGCGGTCTGGGCGGCCAGGAACAGTTTGGCATGCGCAGGACAACCCCTCCACCTCGGCGTACTGCGGGGTGGCTGGGGGCTCGTCAGAAAAGGCGTTTCGCAGAGTGCAGCCTCATCCTTGCTCCGGCATCCTTGGCTGAGCTCTCTGCATCGCTCCCGGCCCGAACAGTGCGCCCCTAACCAAACCCTTTGCCCCACCCATCGAGGGTTGAAACGAGACAGAGTAGGCTTTGAGGGCGACCACTGCAATCGAACAGCAGCAAAGGGAGCGCAACGGGCGTGCCGACAGCCACGAAGCCCTGGCGCGCTGTTGCAGTGGCCGGTGGCCGCCAGGCTACAGCAGCCTGAGATGAAGAAGGCCAAGCAGCATGGCTATGCCCCGCTGCCCAGCAACCTGCGGTCGACGTCGCCCTCCCTGGGCCCGCCGCCGGGGGTGGCGGGGGTGCTGGCCCGGCGCGGCGTGAGCCCTGCTGGCGAGGCCGCCGCGCGGCGATTAGGCGTCAGCAAGGCCACCAAGGTGGTGGTGGCGCCCGGCCAGGTGGGCACAGCAAGGACCAGCCTCCGCCGCAGCGTGCCTGCGCCGACGAGCCCACCACACGCCCATAGCACCGTGCCCGCCCTCTGCATCTCCCCTCCTCCCTTGCCGCAGCCCGCGCCGCCGGGTCGCAGCCGCGACCGCTTCATCAGCCTGCCCGACGAGCTGCAAGGCGAGGAGCAGCAGGCGGTGGAGGAGGCGCCACCCACCATCTTTGAGGACCTGCTGGAGGAGGGGACGGGCATGCGGGGGCGCATCACCGTGTATTGCGTGGCAGAGAGCATCGACCGCAAGGCGCTGGAGCTGCGGCTGCGGGAGCGGGGAGGCGCCGCGCTGCTGCACCAGTACCCAGACGTGCTGTACGGGCTGTACGAGTCGACAAAGGTGGGTGTGGCTGGCTGGCTGCACGGTGGTGTGGATGACGGGCTCGCCCGCGCCTGGCTGGGCGCACATTGCTGGTCCGCGAACCGCCCAACATGTGCGGGTGCGCTGCATACCTCCCATCACTGCCTGCCTGTTTAGAAGCACTGCGCTGCGGCTAGCGCTGCTTCCCAGCTAACTTTTGTCTCCGCCCACCTGCCCACCCGCCCCTTGCCCGACGCAGGACGGCGTCATGTGCCGTGGCGAGTGCTTCTACTTCGACTATGGCGCGGTGGCCTTTTGGAACCTGTCTGAGCGGCAGGAGCGGGAGGTCATCCGCACGCTGCTGGGGCCCTGCCTGGTGGACTCGCTGACGCAGAACGAGATAGAGGTGGATGAGTTCCAGGTGCGGGCGCAGGGGCCGAGGCTGCGCCAGTGCGTAGCAGGGGGTTGGCGGGGGCCGTGTGAGGAGTGCGCTGCCGCCTGCGTGGTCCCCTCGGCGGCCCCTCCCACGCCGCCATGCGCCGCTGCCCGCCGCAGTTCCACTACAGCCTCAGCGAGAAGCCGCACATCCAGAACGACACCATCACAAGTGAGCCGCGCCTGCCGCGCCTGCCCGTGCATCCCCCAGCCCCCGGCCTCGCCCCCGTGCCGCCCTCGTGCTTGCCTCCTGCGCCATGCGCGCAGCCGGCCTCCCCTAAACCACTCCCACCCATCCCTGCTGCAAACACACGCACACATTGTGCCCTGCCCCGCAGTAAACTACCGCCTGCGCAACGACCACCTCATCAAGCTCAGCATCTCCCACGCGCTGGCACAGTCCGCCAAGCTGAGCGTGTACGAAGAGCGGGTGATCGAGATTGTGGAGAACACAAAGGACCTGCCGGAGACGCTGGCAGCCACGGGGGAGGTGCGGGGGCTGGGCGGGGGGGGGGGGCTCCTGCCTGTACCGTCGGCTGCTGGTTCGATGCGCACAGCACAGCATCTCTGCCTGCAGCTGGTGGCTTCCAGTCTGCAGCCGTGCGCCCTTGTTGCCGCAGCCCAGCCCGGCACGCCGCTGCGCCCGTGCCCGTACCTCTGCAGGTGGGCCTGTCGCGCAAGCAGATAGCGCAGTTCATTGGCCGCGTCTTCATCCAGAAGTCGGCCGTCAACCTGCTGTCCACGGTGCTGGACACGCCAGGTGGGGAGGAGGCCGGGGCTGGGCTCGCCCCTTGGACCTGCTGCCCTTGCTTGCCTTGGTTGTGTTCCCTGGTCCCACTACAACCCTTCTCATGACCGACGGCCGCCTCTTGCGCCTGCCTTCTCGCCTCCTCTTCACAATCAGAGTTCTTCTGGTCGGCGCCAGACTCGATGCAAAACCTGTATAAGCGCGTCTGCGAGGTGCGCGTCTGGGCTGAGCAGCCAGGGGCGCTAGTTGTGGAGCGGCGCTGCGCCTGCCTGCTTGCAGCAGGTTGGTTGCCCCTGATTCACCCCGACTTGTACCGCCTCCCTGGCTGCAGTACATGGAGTACGACACGCGCGTGGAGGTTCTCAACAACCGCTTCCAAGTGCTGCAAGAGATGCTGGACATGTGGGTAGACATGGCGGCAGCACGCGCCTCAGCTGGCAGCCATGCGCCTCACCTAGCGTTTCTGATGAGCTGCGTGCTCAACTGCCCTCCCTGGCTCTGGCCCCCCCGCCCGCAGGCTGCGCGACCACAGCAACAATGCACACACGTCGCGGCTGGAGTGGGTCGTGATCTGGCTCATTGTCATCGAGGTGCGCCACATGGGGAAGTGACACGGCTGGCCGGTTGCCTCCTGGGTGGCGCTTGCTGATGGCCACGCGGCAGCAATCATGTGCTTCCTTGACCCAGCCCGCCTCCTGCCCTGCAGGTGGTGGTGGGCTTGTTTGAGTGCGCCTCCATCCTCGGCTGGGTCGGGCACCATGGCGGATGAACGCGAGCGGCTGCTCGCAGCACTGCCCCTATTCTTTCTTGTGCCTGCTCATTTGCTGCCGCCTGCTGACGGGCGCCATATTGCGCCCCGGCTGCCCCTCCCTCCCTCTGTCGCCCTTGCTGCCTCTCGGACCCTGCTGCCCTCTGCTCATGCATCGCTTGAATTGCAGCCATCCAGCACAATGTGAAACCAAGCATGTGTAGCTTAGCTGATGGCTTATGTTGAACGACGTGTTGATTGGCACAGGCAGGGGGAGCAGGGCACTGAGCACGCCAGGAAAACTGGGCTTGTGGGCATGCAAGGCCCATATCAAACAAAAAAGGGAGATTGGGGATAATGGTACAATGTAACAGGCTGTGGGCGACAAAAAAGCACACTTTCGACGCTCGCAGTAATCCCTCGAAAAGCCTCCGGGTTTGTTCAGTCTTGTTTATCCGTTCTGTTGTCATGCTGTCAGGCGCTGCGCGGTCTGTCCTTATGGCAGGCCAGGAAGAATGGCGCCAGCGGCTGCCGATGTGAATTCATGGCAGAGGGGGAATTCTTCGGTCCAGCTGCCCTCCTGCTGCGGCAAGCCCTCCACGGCCGGCCTCAGAAGCAGCGCTTCACCATCTTGTCCACCTCCTCCCGCAGGAAGGGAGGGTCGCGGTCCTGCACCGCGTACGACACCTGCACGCAGTGGCAGGCGGGGCCAGCAGGGCTGGCAGCAGGTTACCGGCAAGCGCACAACTGACTTTACGTTCAAGTTAAAAAACACGGGTCAAGTCAAAAAACACGGGCCTGTGCTGGTGCCAGCCCAATATGGCACCAGTGGGTGATGTCTTCCTCACCACAGTGGCCGGCTTTTCGATGTTGATGATCTTGCGCAGGTCCATGGGGGTTGCGATGATGACTGTGTCGCAGGGTACCGCGTTGATAGAGGCCTCCAGGTCTGCAATCTGCTCGGGGTAGTACCTGCGCACAGCGAAATGACCACCATGCAGAGGGGAGGCGTGGGCAGGTGTCAGGTGCCAGGGCCGCCGTGAGGCTCTGCCCATGCTGCTTCCCAGGCGCAGCCTCCCTATAGCGTGGCTCCCGCAACCTTCAGCAAGCCAAAGCGCACCACCCCTTCTCACCCCATGGCCGGGATGAGCTTGCCCAGGTGCAGGTTCTTGCGGTAGGTGAGCAGCATGGAGCCCACCAGGTAGGGGCGAGGGTCCACCAGCTCGCCCGCCCCAAACTTCTCAGCAGCAAACTGCGGGGAAGGCAGCAGCAGCCGGCGAGCAGGCATGTCGGCATTCAGCACGGGCCGCCAGCAGCGCCTTCTTTGCGGCCTTGAACGTCACAGGCCCCAGTCCAGGCTGGTACGCCTCACCTTGCCGGCGCCGTAGGCCATGCCTCCATGGGTTAGCGTGGGCCCGTCCTCAATCAATACCACCCGCTTGCCCTTCACCAGCTCCGGGGCATCAACCACAATATCACTGTCGGTCACGTACACCTGCAGAGCAAGCAGGCAGGCAGGAGGGCAAGCGGCCAGGGCACAGACGGCTGGTTTGGGCACTGGCTGGGCAAGGCGCCAATATGCCTGATGGCTGAGGAAATGCCACGCCGGTCTGCCTCTGCCTCCTGGCATGCACGGCAGCGTGGCGGCGCGCACCGCGGCACCGGGGTTGATCTTGGCTGCAGCCTCCTTCAGCTTCTCCACTGCCCCAGCGGGCGCGGTGTTGGCCTTGTTGATGACAATCGCGTCCGCCATCCTGCATGCACACAGAAGCCCGCGGTGAGAAAGGCTGGCCGGCACTGAGGCAGTGCAGCAGGGGAGCAGCAGGAGGGCGACCAGCGGGCGGCGGGGTGGCACGGCAACGCACAAGGCGGCGCACCTGAAGCAGACGTCGCCTGGGTAGAAGCGCTGCTCGTGGCCCACGCGGTGCGGGTCGGTGATGCAGATGAAGAGGTCGGGACGGTAAAAGGGGGTGTCGTTGTTGCCGCCTGCAGATGAGCGGAGTGGGAGCCTCTGGTTCGTGTGCGCGCCGACGGCCAGCAGCTCGTCATTTCAACAGGCAACACGCCCGGCAGCAGCTCACCATCCCAGATCACCACATCTGCCTCCTTCTCCGCCTGCCGCAGAATGGCCTCGTAGTCCACGCCTGCAGGGGGCGGGGAGTGGCACGGCAGGGATGGGCATGGGCTGGCCCGATGCCATGCGACATGCACCGCCTCAGCCAGCAGTGGCTGGGACCATCCAATCGTCCCCCTCTCCCACCCCCCGGCCTGCCCACCTGCGTACACCACTGTGCCCGCCTTGATGTGCTGCTCATACTCCTCCCGCTCCTCGATGGTCACCTTGTGTGTGGCCAGGTCCTCGTAGCTCTCAAACCGCTGCACAGCCTGCTCCGCCAGGTTGCCGTACGGCTGCGGACGGGCAGGCGTGGCACATGTGCACAGCCCAATGAGCACCATCCAAACTAGCAGGCGAACCAGCAGGGTCTGGGCCGCTCCCCCTTGGTCCCACCCCAGAGTCTGGCAGCAAGGCAGGCAGGATTGGCAGCACTTGTGTCCGCCCGGCGGACCAGCTTAAGACCAACTCCAGCCCCGCCCCACCCCAGCCAGCCCCACCGCTCACCATGGGGTGCCGCACCAGCACGCACTTCTTGCCCCGCTTCTGCAGCTCGTCGATGATGTAGCGCGACACCTGGCTCTTTCCGCACCCAGTGCGCACCGCGCAGGTGGCCACCACAGGCCTGCAGCTGCGCAGGTACGTCTTCTCGGGCGCCGCCAGCTCAAAGTCGGCGCCCACTGCATGGCAGGGGGTTGGGAGCCGGTGTGCGATGTGTGTGGCGTGTGCCATAGTTGAGGAGGGGTGGAGAGCTGACTATGACATGGGTGGCTGAGCCGTATGATCCAGGAACTGGAGGGGAATAGATGTGGTTGGCTGCGCGATGAGCACACCGTGACGGATGTGTGTGAGGCAGCGGCCAGCTCACCCGCCAGGCACCGCCCCGCCAGCAGCATGACCTTGGAGTGCGGCAAATCTGAGTAGGACAGCAGGCACTTGTCCACTCTCTGGTCGCGAATGACCTGCTCCAGCTCCTCCTCGGCCCAGATGTGCAGGCCCTCAGGGTACAGCTTGCCTGCGGCGCGCGGCAGGTGGTGTGAGATGGCGAGTGCCGGCAAGCACAAGACCGGGACAGGGGCACCACCGGAGAGGTGCCGCAATGAGCTCACCCGATAGCTCAGGCGGATACAAGCGGCCCTCTATGTTGGGGATCTGCAGGCATTGGTGCGATGGGCGAAATGAAGGGGGCCGATCAGACTCAGGTAGGATCTGGAGGGGCACAAGAGCAGGCAGGCTGCCGGCCCCCACCTGCGCCGCCGTGAAGCCGACGCACTCGACATCGTCGTTGTCACGGAACAGCACATTGAAATTGTGGAAGCTGCAGGGGGGGAGGGGGGGGTGCCCAGCAGGTGAGCGACAAGGGAGACAGGTGGGCCGCCCAGCTGACGGCGGCGCTTGACCTCCGCCCGCTGCTGCGGCCATGACCAGACCCCATCGCAGTGTCGGAGGCGCCCGGGTCTCGTCAGGATCGCTTCCGACACTGGTGTGGGTTGCGTGGCAGCCCGCCAGGCTTGAAACGAGCGGCGGCACGTCATGTGGCCCAGCGATGGGCTGCGATAGCCGCACTCACTCGCGTCCTGCCGCCCCCAGTATCAGGACTCGGGTCCGGGCCTTCATTCCGACCATCGTGTGCTATGTTCAACTGCGGTTTGGAAGTATGTGTCGGTAAGGGACCAGACAATGAGTTGGTCTTTGCTCGTTGTCAATCGTGGTTAAAAGGAATAGACTGGATGCTGTGCTACGCGAGTGTTTGTCATCAGACATGAGCCGCCGTGTGCCAGCTCACTTTGGCCTTGCGGAACCGCCAGCTTACGTTTCACGACCCCTCAAAACAGGCGACTGGTTGGCTGTTGACGGGCAGGGCATGGTGAGAGCTGCATCAGGGATCTCTCGGGCCGGCGCCAGCGCCAAAAATCCGATCTGGTCATCTAGAAACAGACACATTTACAGGCACTTGAATGAATAAAACGCTAATAGGGCGCTAAATTTATTGATGAAAGATAAACAAACAAAATGACGGCAGGGCAGACGTGCACAGGGTGGTTGCACAAATGAGCGGTTTGGCTACACATGACGGGTGCATACAAGTACATTCATTCGTTTGGGGTTGGTGTGCGAGGCAGGATGGCAGCCAGGAACCTGCCATATATTGAGAGAGGGAAAAACAGCCAGCGAGAGCAGCGGATGCAGAGCTGCGACGGCCAGCATGGGTCTTGCCAAGGTGAGGACATGGGCGAGCTTATGTGCATGGTGAGGATGTGGGAGAGGCTGAGCTGCGGGCATGCCAACAACGGCCAGCGACCGGCCAGCTGCCCCCGAAAATGCGGTCCGAGCAAAATGTCGGGCAGCGCAGTGACGCAGGGCTGCTGCCACAGAAAACAGCGGCAGCCTGGCACCGCCTGTGATCCCAACGCATCGAGCAACCAATGCTCGAGCAAAATCTGGTGTGGTGGTTCCAACTGGAGGCCGCCAATGTGGGAAAACTCATGTGTGCGGCGCGGAAAGGCATTTCGTGCGGAGGAGGAAAAACAGGCAGGTGATGCGCCTGGCCTAGAGCTGCGTACCTAGTTGTGCGACAGGGTAGCCAGTTTGCTTCTGTTGTAACAATGCCGTATGTTCATCTAGCCTGGAGTAGCTTGAAGGGTAGGTAGCTGGTACTTCAAAACAGCGTCTAGAAGGCCAGGCCCTGCTGCGGGACGGGTGGAGCCGCAGGCGGCGGGCCGACGGACGGCGTGGGCGGCGGGGGCACGCTGGCTGCCGGCAATGCGCCCTGCACAGGGTCGGAGGGTCGGAGAGGCCCTCAGCAACAGGCCGCCACAGATGAAAGAATAGCATGCGCCTGGCACAGTGCAGCATCCAGTTGGCCGCGCTGGCCGGCCAGCGTGCATGCCTGCATGAAGCTGGCGGGGTTGAATGCCCAGGAGGGGCGCATCATGGCGTACGCCGCATCCAGCAGGGCCCGCTGCTCCACCTGGTCCAGCGGGGTGGCCAGCGCCTCGCGCTGCCTGCAGGCCAAGCACAGGCCGGCACACCACGATGATCACATCGGTCGGGCCGGCGGGCAGGCCTGGCATGCAACAACGGAGCGGTACCAGTGCTGCCTCCTGAAGCCTCCCATCACTGCCACACCTGGCAATCTGCTCGTGCAGGCGCTGCTGCTCCTCAATCATCGCCGCCAGCGGGTCGGCGCCGGTGAGCCACCAGGAGGAGACGGGGCTGGCCGCCATGCCCAGGCTGTCAAAGCCGCGCCGCACCGCCTCGGCCCCAAACACCACGGCGCTCATGCTGAGCGGCTCGGGGGCGCCGCCGCCTAGGCCGGCGCCGCCAAAGGAGGGGCGGGGGCCCAGCAGGCTGGGGCTGGGGTGCTGCAGAGAGGGTGCGCCCTCAGAGGCGCTGCGCGACAGGCCGCCCACGGCGGCGCCGCCGGAGCCGCCGCCGCCTGGGGAGCCCTTGCGTGCAAACGCGCGCAGGCGGGCAAAGCTGGCAAACCTGAGGCGGCGCGTCGGCTTGGCGCTGCTGGGCACAGACGGCTGCGCCACTGGGACCACTGCAGGCAGGCAGAGGGAGGGCAGCGGCGGCGACATGCCAGCCTGTGAGCCATGCCTCTCTGTCTGCTGGAGGCTGCCACGACCTGCCTGTCAATCAGGCTGCAGGTCCCACCAGGCAACACCAGCATCCCCAGCGCGGGGCGTGCCCCTGCCCGCCTCTCACCTGCGCCCTGCTTGATGCTGGCTTCCGCCGCGGCGGCCCCCTCCAAGTTGAGCCCCGCCAGGGAGTGGTAGCTGACGCGGCGCCGCATGCCGCCGCCCGCCAGGTCGGAGGCCGGCTCCATGAGCAGCAGCACCTGGCCGGGCCCGCAGCCGCTCAGCGCGGGGCCCAGGCCGCCGGCAGCTGCAGCCTCGGCCAGCTGGGAGAGGGTGCCGGAGGGGGCGGTGCTGTGGCGCAGCAGGCCGCCGCCGCCGGCGCTGTGCCGCGCCAGGCCCACGCCGGCGCCCGCAGGCCCCAGCACGGTGGCGGAGCCGTCAAACGTGACGCGGCGGCCGCGCGGCGCCCCCGCAGCTGCTGCCGGCGCCGGCACCGGCAGCGGCACGGGGCCCAGGCTGGAGGCCATGCTGGGGTCGCTGTTGGAGCGCTGCAGGCCGCCGCGAGGGATGCAGACGCCGGGGCCGGCGGCCTCCACACCCGCAGCCGCCACGGTGGCTGCCGCGGCTGCCACTGCCGCCGCCGCCGCAGGCTTGAGCTTCTCTTTGCCGGCTGCCGCCTGCTGCGAGGCCTTGCTTGGCGACAGCCATCCCAGGGCGGAGGGCTTGGAGGGCCGGTCGGGAGCAGTCAGCCGCACGTGCGCCACCGGCTGGCGGGACAGCATCTTATCAAAGCTCTCCAGCTTGGCTGCCCGGTGGGAGCTGCTGAGCAGCGGGCTGCGCTTGGGGCCGGGCCTGACGGGGGGCGTGGGGATGGGGGCCGCGCCGCCGGGCTGCGCTGCAGCCGCGGCGCTGCTGCTGCCAGCTGCGCCCACGCCGTCAGCGCCGTCGCTGCCGCCCTTGGGGGTGCCGGGCTCATCTGCTGCCACCTCCTCAGCCGCGGGCGCAGCCTCAATCTCCTGTGAGGGAGCGGCGCTCAGGAGCTGCGGCGGCTGCGGCGAGGCTCCCTCCACCAGCGCCATCAGGGTCGGCGCAAAGGAGCCATCGGAGGAGAGGGAGACCAGGGAGGCTGCAGAGAGGGACTCTGGCAGGCCCCCACCCGCCTCAGACTCAGCCTCCGACTCCGTCGGCAGCGGCGGAGAGCCCAGCCTGCCCTGCATCGGCTGCGCGGGCGACTGCGGAGGCGGGAAGGAGGCCAGCGCCTGAGCGGTGTCCGCTGCAGCCGCCATGCCCGCGTGGCCGACGCTGAAGCTGCTGCTGCGGCTGCCTATGCTGGATGTGCGACCCAGGTTGCGCCCCCGCACTGCACGGCACACAGGCGCACATGTGTGCAGCGTTTTTTCACCAGCTCTGCCGGCGTGCACGAGAGCAGCACAACAAGCGGGCCCGCGGCACCAAGATCTCGCTGCTGGTTCTGAACTTGTCTCCCCCAACCCACGCATGCACCTTTCCACCATCACAGCCATCACAACCACCACCACCCCCGCTCCTCCACCTGCTCGCCCGCCGCTCACCCGTGTGCAGATACGAGTCCCCGCCCAGCTCCCACAGGTGCGGCTTGCCCGGGGCGGGCTGGAACACCCCCAGGAACAGGTTGACCCCATCCTGCTTCTCGGCATCGGTGTACGCGTTGCTGTAGAAGCGGCGCACCGTGGTGAGCAGGTCGCGCGACTGCGTGGCGGCCTCCCAGTCGCCGCGCTGGCGCTGGAAGAAGGTGGAGTGCGCCTCGCTGCCGCCTGCGGAGAGGGGGCAACAGCACGGGGCGCGCGCGGGGTGCGGTGAGGGATCCAGGAAGCCGTGAGCAGGAGGCTTCGTGAGGCAGCGGGCGGCATGCGCCATGTCTGGCCCGTGCGCAGAGCCAGCCACCCTGCCAGCCACATCCTGCACCAGCACCACAACACAGCCACAGCCTCACCGTACTGCAGGGCCAGGGTGTGGCCCATCGCCTCGTACGCATCCATGAGGTGCCGCGCCAGGCTGCTGTTGGGGTCCAGCCACGCCGTCTCTGCGGGCGCGGGGCGGCAGCCACGCAGGGCGGTTAGAGGAGGCGCCCTCGCCCTCGTCCCGCCTCCGCTGATGCAGCCTCTTCCCCGCTGCTGCACACGCGTACGGCGCCCAGCTCCGCCTCCCCCGCTGGCCCACCTGAGATGCCCAGCGCGTGCAGCTGCTGGCCCAGCGCCAGCATGCCGTGCGTGAACTGCCCCACGTTGGTGCGGTCCAGGCTGTCGATGCAGTTGGTGCGCAGCACGCCGCGCTGCTCGCGCGCAGGGCCCACGGCGGAGGAGCCGCCGCCGCCGCGGCCGCCGCCGCCGCCAGCGTTGACGCTGACGAAGATGCCGGTGGCCGCCAGCACCGGCTCCTGCAGCCGCTGTAGGTCGGACAGCAGGTGCGTCTTGGCGATGCGGGCGCGGTGGGAGAGGTCAAACGCCTGGTACTGCACCCGTTGCTGCCCGGGAGCCAGCCGCTGGTTCAGGAACCTGCATGATGGGGGAGCGGGGAACAAAGGAGGGAGGTTGGTACACACGCCCAGCCCACGCACATGCGCTCCACTCTATACCCGCCTGTTGCACCCTGCCCACGCCCACGCCCTCCGCTCCACCCACCTGATGGCTGTGGCGTACTCGCGCCCCAGCACGCTCTCCCGCGGCCGCCGCTCCACGCGCTTCACCAGGTCCAGCACGCACACCGGCTCGCCATACTGCTCCCTGCAGACAGGCGTAGGGCAGGGGGCAGGGATGCAGCAATCAAACCGTGCAGGAGCCAAGCCAGCCAGCCTGCCTGCCCGTTTGTCCCACATCCCACGCACACAACACACACCTGAGCTGGTCGAAGTGGCGGCGCGTGGCGGCGTACAGCGGGTCGAAGCGGTGCAGCAGGATCTCGGGCTTCATGATGCTGCTGTCGGGCTGCTGGGCCCAGTGCAGCGGGATGGAGCCGCGCACCTGCACCATGCTGCTGACCAGCGGCTGCCCGCTCTTCCAGTCCACCCCCGCCTCCACCATCTGCTCCACCTCCACATCGTTGGCGCAGTACCCGGCATCAGTGACGCCGCGCTTCAGGTACCGCGTGCCCGCAAACTGTGGAAAGCAAGCGGCGGCGAGGAGGGGGGCTCAAGTGTGGGTCCCGCCAACTGCTGCCACCCACGCCCGGGGCCAGCGCAACCATTGCCTGCAGCCATGCCGGCCCCCGCACCCCACACAGGCGCACCCACCTGTCGCGAGCGGCGCGCCACCAGCGTGAGGTGCAGCGTGCGGCCCAGCAGGGCCAGCGGGCGCTGCTGGAAGAAGCCGTGGGCCAGGGGCACCACCCAGCGTGCGGCCGAGTCGCCCAGCGCCTCCCGCAGCGGGCGGCTCAGGAACTCGTTCCACACAGACTTGGCCTCAAAGGCCTCCGCCGCCGCCGCCTCGTCCCACTCCTCCGCGGGCGGCTGCGCAAAGGTGCGCTGCGCGGTTTGGTGGACGGGCCAGGAGTAGGAGAAGAAGAAGTCCTTGGTGAGCTGCACCCCGGCCAGCAGCTTGCGGTAGCGCTGCTCCGCGGTGGACGCGTGCTGCGTGCCATACGCGGCGCGGTGCGTGGCGGGGCACAGGATGGGCAGCAGCGCGGTGGCGTCGATGCCATACACCTTGTGGCCTGCGGTGGCGATGGTGGCAAGCGCGGCTTGGTTGGGCAGGCTGGTTGGGCTTGGGATGCAAGGAAAGCGGACGCTGCAAGACTCATCCACGCTGCAAGGGACGCACCCCAAATCTCCGCACCCACACACGGGCACACCCCCTGGCCACGCACCGCAGATGGCGCCCAGGTAGCGCCGCCTGGTGACCAGCAGGAGGTAGGGCCCCTCCAGCAGCTGCACCACGCCCACAATCGCGCTCGCATCGCACACCAGCTGCAGCCCGCCGATGTGCCGGTTGCCTGCGCGGCGCGGGAGCGGCCACAGACCAGGAAAGGGTTGGACCCAGGGTTGGACCCAGGCAGGCTGGGGGAGCGGCTCTGGCTTGTTAGGCAGCTCCACGGCCCGCCCTGCGCTGCTGCCTGTGCTGCACTCACCTGCGTGGATGGCGGCCAGCAGGCGTTGGATCTGGGGTTTGGTGTAGGGAGTGGGGTCCTCGCAGGCGTCCAGGGTGGGAGAGGTTCGATCCAGCTTGAGCACGCGGAACTCCTCCTGGCCCTCCCGCCCCACAGTCTGACGCACGGCGTACAGCCGCTGCGCGGTCTGGTACAACGTCAGGTGCATCGTCTCCCCGCACCGCTGCAAACAGGAAACCAGGACAGTCAGAAGACCACATGCGCCAGAGCAGCCACGGTGGCCTGCTGCACAACCAGGTGTGGTAGTGGCGGCAGCTGCGGCCGGCGGCGGTCGGCGGCCGTCGGCCACGAGGGCTTGCAGCCGCCGCCGCCCCAGCCCGAGCGGCTGCGCCAGACAGTTCCAATCGGTTCACCTCTGCTCTTCAGCCGCGCGGCGGGCCCGAACAGTTTGTGTGCAGCGATCTCGTGTTGGTGAAGGAGGGACACTTCCCAGCCACCTCCTTAACCCACCCTCCCAGCACCCTGCCACCGCATGGCGAGCGGCCAAACTTGCGAAAGATGAGCTGCAACGCACGCCGCCGCCTCTTCAGGACGTGGCGGCCACGAGGGCAACCAGCGCAGCAAGATGGCCAAAACAGTCGTGTTACGCCCTGGACACGTGCTCAGGTGTGAATGTGGTGGTATGGAGGCCCAAATCGCAGCCCAATCATGGGGCTGTTGTGCCGCCGCCGCCGCCAGCTGGCTCCGCCGCTGGTTGGCCCTTCAGGCCCCCAGCTGCCCTCTGCTGTGGAGGGACGGGGCGCGCATTTCTAGTATAATAGCTGGAAATCATCAAATCCAAGAAGGAAGAAAGCGAGGCACCTTCACCCTGTTCCCATTCTGCTGGGTAGCTGCCTCCTTTGCCTTCTCTCTTCCCAAGGGAACCCAACCCAGCGTATCTGCCACCAGGCTCACCCCTGCAGTCGCCCACCATGTCGCTGCTCTTGACGGCAGCCCTTGGACGGCCCTGTGTCTCGGCCCTGGGCCTGCGCAGCCCTCACGCGGTGCCTCTGGCTAGGGTTCCGCCCCTGGCAGCCACCAGCGCCCGCACCCCGTGCCGCCGCCGCACGTCCCCAACCGTCAGTGCTAAGGCTTCCGAGGAGGGCGTGGCGGCTGTGGGCAGCGACCTCAATTGGTCGCACGTCGCGCGCGACATCAAGCAGCGCGTGGCAGCGGTGGCCAGCAAGGAGGGGCGCATGGACCAGCTGCAGGCGTGGTGAGCGAGTGGTAGAAGGCCAGCTGCCTGGAGCAGCCGCGGGCGCCTGCACACATCCAGCCGTAAAAATGGCATCTGGCATCATCACTGGTGCTGCCCTGGTATGGAATGCCGCCCTTACCCGCTATTGACCTGCTCCTCCCTCGCGCACAGGCTGAGCGAGACGCGGCTGAGCTGCGACCTGGACATAGAGCAGGAGGGCCAGACGGAGATTGTGGCGGAGCAGGAGGCTGTCTACCAGAACCTGTCGGGCATGGACCTGGACGTGAAGCGCTGGTGAGAGGGGGACATGTTGTGCCTGCTGGCGAGCCAGCTGCCGCCGCGGCGCTGCTCAACCACACAACTCAGCACAGTCAATGCTGCTGAGTGGTGGAGTGGCTGGCGCGTGCTGACGGTCCCTAATCCCACGCCTGCCCACCCTCCCCTCCTGCAGGCTGAGTAACCCCGATGAGGACGCCGAGACCGACTCCAAGATGGCGGGGGTGCTGACGCTGAGGCTGCTGCAGGCCTACCACGCGGAATCGGGTGCGCCCCTATCTGCGCAGCGCCCCTGGCAGCTGGTTCGTCTTGCTGACTCAGCAAGTTCGGAACAGGCTGCTTGATGATCTGCCGGATGCACTCTAATGTGCGCTGGCTGGGAGATTGCCTGGCATCAATGTGGAGTTGGGGTTGTGACACAGGCACAGTCGGGTTCGTCTCTTCCTCTGCATCCCCTACCATCGCTGCCCACACCTGGCACAAGCCCCGCTGAAACCCTGCTGGTTGGCCCACGGGCTGCCCACCTGCCGCAGGCGAGGCGTTTGATGATGAGTCGGACGATGCCTACTGGCGCCTGCAGGGCTTCCTGCCGGGGGCCCTGGTGGAGGCGCTCGACCATGACACCCTCAGGCGCATGATCAAGGCCTATGTGGCGATGCCCTTCAGCGGGGTGTAGGCGGCAGTGCTGCGACCTGCTCGCGGGCGTGCTCACGAGCAGCTGGCGCGCGCTTGGCAGGCCCGAACGCCGTTGCTTCACTTTCTTACAGTGGTTCCTGGAGGATTTAAATACTGCGTGGAATGCGGTGAGGCACAGGGATGAATGCAAGTCAAGGCCTGGTAGAGGTACAGGCGACTTCCAGCTGCGCTGCCAGCCAGCGAGGTGAGGTGGATAGGGCAGTGCATGGGACGGGCAAGGGCTCTGCGTTCCCCGGTTTAGCGCGGTACATTGCGTTCACTGCTCCTTGTGCTCGCATTTCCGGCGTGTGAGCGTGCTCTGTGCTCCCCTCCCCCTGGCACCGGTCACCCCGAGCCCGCGGACCAGTCACCGGTAAGCGTGGTTTAGTGTACAAGCAGGGCATATGCGCTGCCATCGTGCCGCCCGCAGTGCCCAAGTTGGGCGCGCCCAGCACTGGGCGGTGGCGGCAGCGCGGGCGTCAACACTACTACCCACCTGCGCCTGAAGATTCTCACTTTTCTGACTAATGCAGATCAGCTACTCCCACAGCCATGTCGATGTTCAGCACCGCAAATACTGTGCAGCGCTCTACCCTCGCGCTGCAAAACCACCGCACTGCCTCCGTCCAGCACAGCATGGGCGGGCGCCCGAGGGCGGGCATCGTCTGCGTCCAGGCCTCGGCCTCTCTGGCGGCTGTGGGCAGCAGCCGTAGCTGGGCGTCTGTTGCGCAAGATGTGAAGAGCCGTCTGGCGTCGTCGATGGAGAGCAACCAGAGCAGGATGGAGCAGCTGATGCTCTGGTGAGGCCCGCCGGAATGGATGGCTACGTGCGGGCAAGGCAGGGTGCTGCTGTTTGCTTCTTACTTGTAGGATAGCCATCAATTGCAGCTGCTGCCGTCTGCCGTCTGTGCAGGCTGGGGGAGACCAGGCTGGACCTGGAGGCAGAGGCGCAAGTGCGGCAGATCCCGCACTGGGAGGCGGAGGAGTGGCGGGCGGAGTACCAGTCGGCCGCTAACATGCTGCTGAAGCAGTGGTGAGTGCAGGCAGGCTGCCGTGTGGGTGCCTGCTGCCGGCCGGGGTATGCTGGCCCAAGGTCACGAGGTACTGTGCCCCTGTGCCGCGGCGCTGGACAGCCTGCAATTGCAAGAAGGGAAGGGAGCACGTGCCCGTCTTTGAGGGCGTGCCCCCTTGGCTCCTGCAGGTTTGGCAGCCCCTCCCACTCTGATAAGATCGAGGCCAAGATGGCAGGGGTGCTGACGCTGAGGGTCCTGCAGGCCTACAGCGAGAACACCGGTGCGCGCCCCGCACGCAGCCCGTTGCTGAGTCTGCCAGACGCGCTCGACTTCCCATGCCCCGAGGGTCCCATGCCGAGGGTCCCATGCCCCTACTCACCAGCCTGCCACTCAACTGGGCTGCTCTGCAGGCGAGGCGTTCAATGACAGCGACAGCGCGTTTGCGCAGCTCCAGGCCTTCCTGCCCGCAGTGCTGGGGGAGGCACTGGATCGCACCGCATTGGAGCGCATGATTAGGGCGTGGGTGGCGCTGCCTAATGAGAAGCTGGAGCAGCCGGAGGAGGAGGCGGCACGTGAGGCGGCGGAAGCTGCAGCCAGGGTGGAAGAAGCCACCGCTGCGGTCGAGGCTGCCGCCGCCGTTTTGCGCGCCGAGAAGGAGAAAGCGCAGGCTGCTGCACAGGCTGCCGCGCAGGCTGCCGCCGCAAAGACCGTGCAGGCGGCTGCACAGACTGTTGGCGCGGATTCGCCGCGGCTCCGCGAGGCGGCTGCCTCACCCTTCCCTGCGTGATTGCCTTTAGTGCCGCGCCCCTGCTGGCACAGAATTCTTATGATTGGCTGATAACTATGCAACTGCATTTTGTTTATGTCCCTGCCACCTGTCTTGCTGTGCATGCGCAAGCCTTTGTGCGACCTCATTTCTGATTCTGGGAGAGCAAGACGCCCTCATTCATTTGTGCAGCACCTTCCTGCTGCTATTTTCTCTGTGCCTCTTCACTCTTGTTTCCAACGCCACGGCGTTTTCACCATTCATGCCCGGCTGTCCCTCGCACCTTCACGGCGAGGCGGCAGGCGGAGACCAGTGTACAGAACGAGCCTTGTTCAGAGGCGGCAGATATTGTTTCTTATGAACTTTCATGTTTTCATTCACCTCTGCCCACATGTAAATTCGGTTGTTCCAGGATGGAAGGGTGACCCTAGGGTCCCACCAAAACGTTCCTGCGTCGCCCGCCAGGTGGCGCTGGGACGAGGGCAGAAATGCCGAGCTGTTGGCGTCCAGCTGCATTCATTTCGACCTTACCTCAACCTGTCACCAACTTCTGCGGCCTCGAAGCCGCCTTGCAGCGTGAGCCGCGGCCCCACCCCCACTCACACTCTCGTGAGTGGGGTCTGTGAGGAAGGTCTGCAGCCCCCCAGCCTCCGTGTACCTCCCTTCATCTCCCGCGGCGGCTGCAAGCGCCGCCGGTTCAACTCCGCCGCTGCCGCCAGCCGTCGCCGCCACAAGACATGGCCTCCGCCTCCTACCGCCAGCCGCTCCCTGGCGAGCGGTTTGCATATGGTGGCCTGTCATGCGTCATATCCGCAATAATTACGAATCCGGTTGACTTGGCCAAGACCCGCATGCAAGTTTACTATGCACAGCAAGGGGCCGGCAGCGTGGTGGCCCTTGCACAGCCGCCGCGGAACGGGATGGCGGCCACGCTGGCATCGATTACGCGGCACGAGGGCGCACTGGGACTCATGCGCGGCGTGACACCCTCCATGCTGCGTGAGGCTTCCTACTCCACGATCAGGTGAGGCGTCGAGGGAGATGGCCGGCCTGTTCATGAGCTGCATGCGCTCAGGCAGCGAACACCGGGGTGCATGCTCAACCATTTCCTGCTGTGCTGGCAGGTATGGCGCGTACGAGCCCATCAAGCAGATGCTGGATGGGGAGCACCCGGCCGGAGGGCTGCCTGCAGATGTGCCGCTGTGGAAGAAGATTGCGGCGGGCGGTGCAGCGGGAGCGCTCGGCGCCGCCGGCGCCACGCCCAGCGACCTGATCAAGGTCCGCATGCAAGCAGCCATGAGGCAGGCAGATGCGGCTGTTGGCAGCCAGGCGCGGCGCTTGCCGCCAACAGGCATCTGGCAGGCTGCATCGGCCATCTACCGGTGAGAGGCCGGCCGGGGTCGCGCCGCCTGCCCTTGCCAGCACCTGGCGCGTCTGCGCCGCCCACTCGCATCAGCCGTGATTGCTTGCGCTGTGCGTTGCACAGGCAGGAGGGCGGCCTAGCAGGGCTGTACCGCGGAGTGTACCCCACGACGGTTCGTGCTGCGATTCTCACCGCCAGCCAGCTTCCCGTGTACGACCAGACCAAGCACATCCTGCTGTCCCACCCGGCCACAGCAGGGCACGCCAAGGTGTGCACGTGGTGATGCATTGGGTGCCAGCTGTGCCTGGCTGGAGCCCTGGCTGGCCACCAGAAAGCCCCTCATCAGACCCTCCCCCTGTGCCTGCAGGAGGGCCCGGTGCTTCACTTTGTCTGCTCCATGGTGGCGGGCCTTGCCTGCGCCCTCACCACCGGACCTGTCGACCTGATCAAGACGCGCTACATGGCGCAGCAGTTTTGCAGCCAGGGCAAACCGCAGCGGTACACAGGCATGGTTGACTGTGCGATGCAGACCGTGCGCAGCGGGGGCGTGCTGTCGCTCTGGACGGGCTTCATGCCTGCCTGGATCAGGATCGGGCCCCACACCTGCATCTCCCTGCTGGTCTTTGAGTGGCTGCGCAAGCAGGCCGGTCTTGCGCCCATCTGATGCCATCGCCATTGTTTTGTGCTCCTGTACTCCTTGACTGCACCAGCCTCCACTTGATATACGGCCCTCATCGGCTCTTGATTTAATTGCGTGCACTGACATATCTGTTTCCTATCTCTGTAATGAGCACACCCGGTATCGCCATATGACTGTCGCACTTACATTCAATGCTACCATGCTTTGCATGGTGTGGCAGCGGGTAGCCCGCCACTGACATGCAAGTTGGAGATGTAACTGCAAGTAGCAATACCAGAGTGCATGGAGGTGGCAGCTGCAGGGTGGCTGCCTGCCTGTGCATGAATGACACCCAGGGCATGGGAAAAGGGGAAAAGGGGTGAGAAAGAATGAGAAAGAGAATGGAGCTGGGAAAGTTGGATTCAGAGAGACCGAGCGGCTGAGAAGGCAAGCACAACAGAGGAAGATTTACGTGATGGGTGAGGGGCAGAGTGATCGGGTGATTGGCTGGCGCTAAGGAATGTCGCTGGGAGCTGGGCGCAGGGCAGGGAAATGCTCTGGCTCTCCGATTGCAGCACGAAAAGTAGGAGTTGGGCTTTATCGTGCTGTGACAGCGTCGCCGGCTGGGGCCGCCTCGCTGGCTGGCGCTGCTACATCTGCTGCGGCGGCCTCGGCTGGCTCTGAGGGAGGTGTGAGGGGTGTGCTGGCGCCCGCCTCCAGGTCTGCTTCCGTGGATGTCAGGCTCTTTGCCGACTTGCTGGTCAGCTCAATGTCAGGTTTGGCGGCTCCGTTGTCGTCGTCTGCAGCTTCAGCTTGTTGTCGGGAGGCAGCTGCCGCCTTCATCTTTTTGACCCTGCGCAGGCGCAGCCGGGAACAGGCGGGTAGAGGTTAACACAGTCCCTGGCTACTGGCAGCATCAGGTTGAGCCAGCACAGCAGCAGGGGCAGGGCAAACAGGACGCACTTGGGGGCGAAGTAGCGTGCCAGCGCAGACCCGATGAAGATCTGCGATATCTGGCCCACAATGCCGGGGATGATGAGCAGGCCCTGCTTGCTGATGTCTGTTGTCAAGTAACTGATCACTGCAGGCACACAGGCAGGCGGCAACGGCACCAGAGGCTCAGTGCCCATCGCCAGGGTCAGGATCAGAGCGGCACCAGTACATAGTTCTAGCTAATGAGCTCGGAAAAATCCCCACCTGTCACTGCAACAGGTGCGCTCTTCTGGGAGCTCATGATGCCGGTGGCGATGAGGTCTGTGAGCGGCATGTGGAAGATGTAGTACAGCACGGCAAAGTTGAAAATGAGGTAGATGATGTGCTGCGCGATGGCTAAGAGGATGACATACAGGATCTGCAGGTAATGGGCCGGGAACAGCACAGCAGCGGTGTGGAGCCCTTTTCTGCCTAAACAAGACAGCACCGAGGGCTACGCCTGTGGAAACACTAGGGTGGCACATGCGCATCCCGGCTGCATCCAGCTGCAGAAAAAACCGCACCTGCACAAACTGCTGGTCCATGAGCGTGGCCTGCGCCCCCGACAGGCTCTGCCACACGATCATGGACAGCATGATGACGCTGAACATGCTGATGGCAGTCTTGTAGCTGGCGGTCAGCTTCTTGACGTGCTTACTAAAGGGGGGCAGCTCGCGCAGCAGCTGCAAGCACGAGCGCAGGGGAGCTGGGTGAGAGCAAGCGTGCCACACTGCGCCAGGCCACCCCCTCAGCCTGACGCCGGCTGCGCCTTCGTCCCCAGCAGCACACCACCCACCTTGCCGAGCACCGAGGGCACCAGGATGGTGATGGTCAGGCGGGCCAGCAAATTGGGGATGTCGACCGACACGCTCTCCAGCTCATCGCTGCCTCCTAGCAGGGCCTTCAGCCACAGAGGCATGGTGAAGATGCCGGCGATGTTGCTGGCCACGGTGAGCAGCAGCGCCAGGCCCTCGTTGCCGCCGCAGCTGCGGACCAGTGACACGCCCACCCCCAGCGTGGTGGGCACCGCAGCGAAGAGCGCCAGGCCGGCGCTGAACTCGGGCGGGTTGAGCGGGATCTCGCGCAGGGCAAAGCCCAGGCAGGGGGTCACAAACAGGATGCTGCAGGCACACAGGCAGGGAGAGGCAGCAGGTGGGGGTGTGGAGCGAGGCAGCACCTGCTCCCCACATGCTGCTGCTTCAACAGCCGGCTGTCTGCCATGCCAGGAGGACCGAGACCTTGCATGCACAGCCATGCGGCAGCCCACCTAATCAGGCCGTACGTCACGCCCAGCTTGTGCTTGATGGCGGCGGCCAGGTCATCGGTTTTCAGCACCAGGCCTGCAGCAGTGAGAAGAGGGAGGCACCGTTTCTTTAAGCAGTCTTTAAAGAAAGAAAAAATGTCAACAACGTTCATGCAATGTCACCTGAAATAAAAAAGACAAGGATGATGTTGATCTCCTGGATCACGTGGATTTCGCCGTCCATGATCTGCACAGGCAAGGCGAGGGGCGGGTGAGATGTGCAGGTGGCACCAGCGGCGGTTGAGGACTGCGGGTAGGCGCGACCAGCCGGCGACCCAGCGAGCCAGACGCACCGTGACATTGATGACGGCCTTGCCAGGTGCTGGCCATGCCAGCGCCCATATTATCGCCACAAGGAACGAGAGGGGCAGAAAGTTGTCGATCACAAACTTCTTGGTGCGCTTGCCCACCGCCTTCCAGTCCACCATGGCTACACAGCACAGCGTCTGCCGCTGCGGCGAAAATGAGCTGCAGGCAGCATTGGCAGCAGTGAAAGCGGCACAGGCTTGGCTCAGCACTGACGCAGTTGATGACAGGGGTTGAGATAGGCAGGAGGCGATGCGTGGGGCGGCGGGTGGAACCGCCGCCACCTGTCGCACCTGCCCGTCAGCCGGCCTCGGGCGGCTGACCCCTCAAGGCCAGCGGCTGCCTACAGCATTGCTGTCCACTGCTCACAAGGCCAGTCATGCAGTGCACGGCCCGACTCACCACTCAGCTGAGTCTCCCGCTCTCTCGAGCTACAGGGCGTGAGCTCAGCTATATGCACGTCACATTCAAATACGTACAGGGATGCAGCTGCACTGCCCCGTGGAGATGGTTGAAGTGCGTGCAAAAGGAGGCGCAAGTGCGCCTGCAAAGCCCAACTGGAAGCGGGGCAATCAGCTGAAAACAGCTGTGGATCCCGCCGGCCTATTACATTCGCACCGGCAAAATGGGGGAGGGCATCATTGGCCAGGGCGGGGCCGCCGAGCGGTACTGGTCGGCCGCCTGCTGGCACAGTGTCCCTGCGCCCTCTGGAGGCCACACTGAATCATCGGAGCCTATGAATGTCCATTCTGTTGTACTCGTGATCAGCTGACCAGCCATCGCTGCCAGCAGCTCACCTGCGCCGGCGTGGGGCTTGGGCTCGGCACCCGCAGGTGCCCGGTCAGTTCAAGTGCCCGGTTGACCGAGCTGCACGTGACCCGAATGAGCTGAAATGGCAGCCAGCTCATCAGTTGCATCTTGTGGCTCCATCTGCCGTCACCTGGTGTCTCCCTCATCGCCCGACATCTTTGTCAGCGGCTCCTCCAGTCTCGGCCACAGCGCGGGCAGCGGCTGCGGCGACTGTGGCATGCATGCATTGCATTTGCATCTGCAATCATTTTGCAGCGCTTCCACATCCATAGCACACAGCCTGGATGGTGAGGCTGTTTGTGGGCGGGCTGCCGCCGGGCGTCACCCCCGACGACCTGCGGCAGCGCTTCCTGCCCTTCGGCGAGGTCACCGAGTGCAGCATCGCGCCTGCCAAGAGCTATGGGCCCGGCGTTGTCTTCCCCCGCAACTTTGGGCATGTGGAGTTGCAGCCCAAGGATGAGGCGGCCCTGCGCAAGTGCATCGCGGCCTACAACGGCTGTAAGTGGCGCGGGAGCCAGTTGAAGTGCGCGCCGGCGCACCCGCAGTATGCCGACCGGCGGCGGCAGGAGCAGGCGACCGCCGCTGGCGGCACATCGGCGGACGAGGTGAGCAGGAGGTCACTGCTGGCAGGGACATGTGCGCGCTTGCCGCACCAAGCATGACACCAGGACACCACTTCCAACCCTACCTTCCGTTGCTGCCGCCCTGCCTGCAGGCCGCCCATGCCCTGCCGCCGCTGGGGCCCGGCGACAGGCTTCGCCTGAAGCCGTCAAAGGCAGCCACCACCATTGAGGTGGCGCTGGGCAGCGGCCGCAAGGTGCAGCACTTCCCCGAGCCGCCTTCGCAGCAGGTCCAGCTGGCGTGGGAGTCGCTGGAGGCGCCCCCCGCCTCGGGCTACCTGTATGAGCAGCTGCTGCAGCGCCTGGCCGCCGACCTGCCGCCCGAGCTGCTGGCAATCGTGGAGGAGCGGCGGCGCCAGGGCAAGCTGCTGCTGGAGGCGCGGGAGCGGCAGCTGCGCGAGGAGCGCGCGGCGGCAGGTGGGTAGGTTGGGGGGCGGCCAGGCGCTGCTTGGGCAGGCTGGCAGGCGATGCATGCGGTCGATGGGCGTCACAGCGGTGCCCAGCGCAGCTTGGTCATGCGGCACATGCATGCATGCTGCCTTCGTTGTGCTGCAGGTGTGGAAATTGCCCACGAGTACTCTGAGCAGTCCCAAGGCAGCTCTGGTTGGGAGCTGGGCAGCGATGATGATGCGGCGACGGCTGCAGCCACGGCAGCCGGGGCCCTCGCGTCCCGCGAGCGCCGCCAGGCAGCAGCAGCGGCAGCAGCTGGTCCCAGGGGCAGGGGTGCTGCTGGGGCGCGGCAACAGCGGAAGCTGGAGCATGAGCAGCAGGGAATGCAGCCGGGGCAGCAGCGGGAGGACGTGCAGCAGGGGCAACAGGCTGCCCCAACAGTGCCACAGCGGAGGCTCAGGGTGGTCGACTTTCTTCAGCCTCAAGATGCCGAGCAGGAGCGGGAGGAGCCTGCAGCCGCCGCTCAAGCAGGCGCTGGCGCAGCCGCAGACCTGAGCCGCTTCGACTCAGGCAGCGATGCCGAGTGGGGGGCCCCACCGGCTGGTGCCACAAGGCAGCACCTGCTCCAGTCAAGGCCAGCAAGCTCTGGCCAGCAGGCGATGCAACAGCAGGTGCAGGTGTGGCCGCTGGCAGTTGCTCGAAGCACGCGGGAAGAGCAGGAGCACAGCCAGCCCTCCGGCAGCAGCGGCAGCAGTGGCGGCAGCGAGCTGGAAGAGTGGCTAGCTGGTGCGGGCGACCTTGGTGGCGGCCCCGCGGCGAGTGATGCAGAGGCTGGTGCCTTGAATGGTGAGGCCTCCAGCGGCAGCAGCGGCGGCAGCGAGCTGGAAGAGTTCCTGGCGACAGCTGGCGGTGATGGCGCCAGCCCAGAGGCTGCTCAGGAGGAGGAGGAAGGCGAGGGGGCAGGCTGCGAAGGCAAGGAGGCCTGCAGCGATGGCGGCCAGCATGTGGGCAGCGGCGGCGAGGCACGCACCCAGCCTGTCGCGGCTGCAGCGGCAGATGGCGCTGGCAGGAGTACAGGAGGGCAGCAGGTCCGGCGCACATCGCAGCAGCCACAGCAGCAGCCGCCACAGCTCACGCAGCAGCGGGGGGTGGTCGCCTTTGTGGAGGGAGATGAGGCAGCGGCCAGCGGGCGGCAGTGGTGGCACAAGCCCATCCCGGCGGTGGACCTCAGCCGCTTTGCCAGCAGCAGCGATGAGGAGGGTGGAGGGAGGCCAACGGCCCTGCCAGCTGCCGTGGGAGGCAAGCGCGGGGTGGCGCACCACCAGGGCGCCAAGAAGCGGCGGCAACAGCACATGATCCCTCAGGTGGATGGCGCTGCCGACAGTGGCAGTGACGAGGACAGCGCTAGCAGTGATAAGGACGACGACAGCGAGAGCGAAGATGCCAGCACCAGTGGTAGCGAGGGCAGTGCCGGCAGTGGCAGTGACGAGGGCACGTCTGGTAGCAGCACCAGTGAAGACGCGGCAGGCAAGGATCAGGTCGGCGAGCAGCTGCAGAAGGGAGGAGGAGCGTCCGGGCAGGCAAATGCGGCCTCTGCAGGGCACGGCAACGAGAGAAGTGGCAGCGAGGGCGAGGAGAGCGAGGAGGAAGCAGAGACAGCGGACGACGGCAGGGCGGCGGCCGCGGCGGCGGCGCAGGAGCAGCAGCGCCAGCTGGCGGCGCTGTTCCCCGAGGGCGCTGCCTTCAGGCGCAGCGAGCCGCTGGCGCAGATTGAGGCCACCTGGCGCGTCAGCCGCGAATCCTGGGTGCAGGTAGGGGCCGCCGGCAGCCAAGCCTGCCCTGGGCCCGCCTGTGATGCAATGAGCCGCCTCTGGCACAGCTCGTGTGCTTTTCGCTGGTGTGGTGCGGATGCCTGCCTGCCTGCCCAGCGTACCCCTGCTGTCTGCTGCAGGACTACCGCCAGAAGCACCGGCAGGCGGTGCGCATGCTGGGACGGTCGAGCGGCGGCGGCGGCAAGCGGCAACGCAAGGGCTGACGGCTTGGAGCTGCCCTATCCTTGAATGCAAGATAATACATTAGTGTGAAGCAAGCGGCAACATTGTAAGAGCGGAGCGGAGAGGAATGCAGGTCAAAACGGCAGTAAAAATCGCGGTGGGAACCAATCGCGGCAAGCAATGAATTCTAGCAGAGGGCGCAAAGGGCAACGGGCAGCACGGGCCTGGTCTGCAGGCTGGCAGGCTGGCTGCGCTTTGGTGTCACTGGTCCTTATCGAACCGCCGCATGCCCGCCACATACCCCTCGCTCTCTATCCGCCGCTTCTCGCCCTTGGGCTTCTGCGGGGCGGGCGCCGGCGCTGGCGCATCCCCCTCTGCGAATCCCAGGTCCCTCAGGTCTTGCTTGGCCATCAGGTTGCTGCGCAGGGGTCCGCGCCAGGGGGCAGGTTACGGGAGCAGGCGTGTGTGGGCAGGCAGCGGCCCAGGCGGAGGGGCACGCAAGCGGTGGCGCAGCAGCGGCGGCGGCACGGCCGGCGCACCGTTCCATGCGGCACTGCAGGTACGACTTGGCCAGCTCACGGCACGCCTCTGCGTCGTTGCCGTGGTCTTTCAGGCACTGCAGGTACTCCTCCTTGATCTGCAGCCCGGCAGGCGGGGAGGCAGGGATCGCCCCACGCAAGGAGCAGTGATGCTGGGGTTGCAGCGGAAAAATGGCGCCGCCTGCCTGCCCCCAGCCTGCAAAGGCAAAAGACGAGCTCGCCTTTTTGCACTCCCCAAAGTGGTCCAGCGGGAACACGCCCTTCTCTGGCGGCCGCGGCTGGAAGCCGCGCGCGCCGCCAAACGCGCCGCCTGCTGACATGCTGCCGCTGCCGCCCGGCCTGTGCCGCCAGGTGCCGCTCCTCCCCTGGCCAACCGATGGACTCCTGTGTCACAATACCTGGCGCTGGGAGTGCCTGGTGCGCTCAGGCTCAGGGTTTGCTGTCGCAGGCTGTGCAGGAGGAGCGGGGGTGGTGAGAAGTGGCCTGGAAATGTGCGGTGGACAGTCGGGGGCTGTTGACTGCGAGCTGAGGCGCTGAATTGGGCTGCTCACGTCAGATATGCCGCTCCAAGGCCCTCTGAGAAAGCTGGCGAGCTGGCAGAGATGATGTGCCACCCCACGGGCCCCTTGTTCACCCATCCACTTGACAGCAATCGGCAGTGCGGGCTGGGGAGGACGCCGGCGTATTCAGTCCCACCGACCATCTCCAGACCGCGTGCACCTGCAGTTGCGCTCCTGCCCCTGCTGACGGGCTTGCACCCCAGCGCAGCAGCGCCCCGGGCACCATGTCATACAACAGCACCAACTGGAAGGCGGGGGAAACCTTCTTCTCGCCCATGGGGTCGGGCGTCGGGGCGGTGTTCCCTGCCGCGCCGCCGGGCGCCGCCACGCCGCCCCCGCCCCTGGTCAGCAGCGCGGCGGGCACCCCCAGCAAGCTGGTGGCGCAGGAGCTGTACTGGCGCTGGTTCCAGATGGCAGACACCGGTGTGCGGGTGCTGCACGCCTGCCGCCGCCCCGCCCTCCTTGCTGTGACGTGCCGCATCGGTGGAGCAGCCGGCCGGCGGTCTTCACATGCAGCCGCTGGCGCCTCCCCCACCACCCCCCGCCCCCTTGCTCTCGCCGCCGACCCCGCAGACCGCGACGGGCGGCTGACGGGCGCCGACGCGGTGCGCTTCTTTGAGCGCAGCGGCCTGGCGCGGGAGCTTCTGGCCAAGGTGTGGGCCAACTCGGACCACAAGCGCCAGGGCTTCCTCGACTTCCACGCCTTTGTGCGCGCCCTGGAGCTGGTGTCGCTGGCGCAGGTGCGGGCGACGGCGGCGGCGGCGGCCGGCGGCGGCGGCGGCGGGCGCAGCGGCAGGCGGCTGGCGGGCCGGGTGGCAGCACCGACGCGCACGCCTCGCCGCGGCTGCGCTGCGTTCCGTCGGCCGGCGGGCCAGGCTGGGTTGCTAGTCAGGGACGGGGGCATGGTCGAGCCACACGCTGGCAGCCCCCGCCCGATCCCCATGCTGCCCCCCTCCCTCCCTCCCTCCCTCCCTCCCTCCCTCCCCATGCTGCAGTCCACGGGGGAGGTGTCCATGGACACATACGCCAACATGCAGTCGGCGGGGATAGAGCCGCCGAGGCTGCGGGGCCTGGAGACAGACCCCGCAGCGTCGGCGCGCCCGCCACCTGGCACAGGAGGAGGCGGCGGCGGCGGAGGAGGAGGAGGAGGCGGCATGGCTGCCAGCCTGGATCTGGAGGGACTCAGTCTCGCCGCCGCGGGCTCCGCGGCGGCGGCAGAGGGGGTAGTGCACCAGAGCCTGGACGTCAGCCGCACGATGGATGTGCGGCGCAGCGTGCCAGAGGGCCTGGGGCGGCCGCCGCCCGGCGGCGACGCGTGGCGGAGCGTCTCGGAGGCGGGGCGCGAGCCCGGCAGTGGCCCCGGCAGCGTGGGCGGGCGCAGCGGCGGCGGGGAGGAGGAGGAGGCGGCGCGGCACGCCGGCGGCGGCGGGCCGTTTGATGTGCAGCGCAGCGTGGATGTCGGCGCGGCGCTGCTGGCGGGGGCGGCGGCGGGGGTGGGCATGGCGGCGGCGCGGCGCAGCATGGAGGCGCCCCCCATGCACGCAGCGCCCTCGCCGGCGCCCTCGGCAGGCGGCGGCGGCGGGGTGCGTGCGCCGCCAGCAGCCGCGGACGCAGAGATGCTGCCGCCTGTTGCTGCGGGCAAGCCCGCCTGGTCGCCAGGTCCCGACACCTCGCTTGCGTGCCCCCTTGCTGCGCCCTGCTGCCCTGGCTTGCAGATGCAGGGCGCCTACCAGGCTGTGCCCTCCCCCATGGGCGCCATGCCGTCCCCTTACTCCTCAGGCACAGCAGCCTTCTTCCCAGGTTGGCCCCCTGGCTGGCTGCGCAGCAAGGGCTGCTTGAGCGCAGCGCCTTGCATGCACATCACACCCTAGCTAGGCCTGCCACAGCGCCGCACGCCTCCGCCCTGCCCCGCCGCCCCGCCGGCGCAGAGTCGTCGCCGTCGCCCGCGAGCGCGGCCGCCATGTTTGGGCGCAAGGGCAAGCGGCGGGCGGCGCTTTCCACCAAGGACTGCACCTCCATCACAGAAGGCCTCAAGAAGATCTACTTTCACAAGGTGGGGCCTTTTGTGTGTGTGTGTGTGCGTGTGTGTGTGTGGCTGGTGGGGTTGAGGTGGGGTTGACGGGGCTGGGACGTGTGTGTGCGCGCTGGGTTGGTGTGCGATTGCGTGCGGGCGCCTGCGACGATGTGTGATGCAGGGGTTTGGGGTCCTGCCCGCCGCACAGCGCCACCCACACGCCCACACACACGCGCACACACGCACCCCGCCCCCGCAGATCCGGCCGCTGGAGGAGTCGTACAAGTTTGGGCACTTCTTCAGGTTGGGGTTGGGGCAGGCACAGAGAGCGCGAAGAACAGAGTGTTTGTGTGCGTGTGTGTGCACAGCAGAGAGAGAGGGGCCTGGCCGTCGCTGCCTGTGGCCACCCGCCGCCGCTGCCCCTCGCCTGCCCGCCCGCAGCCCGCTGCTGAGCGAGGGCGACTTTGAGGCCAAGCCCAGCGTGCTGCTGCTGGGGCAGTACAGCACGGGCAAGAGCACCTTCATCAAGTACCTGCTGGGGAGGGACTACCCGGGGATCCACATTGGGCCAGAGCCCACCACAGACAGGTGGGGGCTGGCCGGGGCAGGAGCAGGCCGCGGGCCGGCGGGGGGGAGGCGAGCGGCCAGCGCTGTGCTTTGCAGGCGCTGCTGCCGCGCCGTCGAGCGTGCCGCGCGATGTGGTGACCTCGTGCCGCCGTGCCGCAGGTTTGTGGTGGTGATGCACGGCCCCGACGAGCGCCGCACGCCCGGCAACACGCTGGTGGTGCAGCCGGACAAGCCGTTCACCGGGCTGGCACAGGTGGGCAGGATGGGCTACCAGGGTGGCTGCTGGTCTGCCTGCTCCAGCTATGCGCACTGTGCCCACCCTGCTGTCGTCCCGCCTGCTTCTTTTATCAACCGCCCCCGTTTGCCCCATCTGCCACCCACCACACTCATGCACACAATACTCACAGCACCTCCCCTGCTCCGCCGTTGCCCCTGCCTGCCCGCCCCGCCCCACCCTTCTTCGCCTGTCAGTTTGGCAGCGGCTTCCTGTCCAAGTTTGAGTGCGCCCAGTGCGACAACCGGCTGCTGGAGGAGGTGACGCTGGTGGACACGCCAGGTGGGCGCCGCGTGGACGGGCGGTGGTGGCTGGGACGGCCCGCTGTGCCGCCTCTGGAGCCCCTGCCCGCTGCCGCCCGCCTCCATTCCCACCACACTGCTCTTGCCATTTCTGCCTCTGCTCCCACCCTGGCCCTCCTCCGCCAACCCACATATCCACACACACACACACACTCTCTCTCTCTCCTGCAGGCGTGCTGTCTGGCGAGAAGCAGCGCATCGAGCGCTCGTACGACTTCATCCAGGTGTGCGGCTGGTTTGCGGCGCGCTGCGACCTCATCCTGCTGCTGTTCGACCCCTACAAGCTCGACATCTCGGACGAGTTCAAGGCGGTGGGTGGGGTGGTGGGGGGGCGACCTGGGGGCCGGGATGGCAGCCATCGGGCTGGCACGCTGTCGCCGCCCAGATGTTCACAGCCGCGGCCCTCGTCAGCACCAGCACCAGCACGCATGCCTTGCGTATTGGCCAC